AGGGTCTTGCTGACGACTTGAATGTGATTTGTGAGCATGGGAATCCAGGGAGGAAATATGTTGCATTTGAGGGGATAAGCACTGGTAGGAGGTTCATTGCCTGTGCCACCGAAGTAAGTTGTTTGCAGCATTCCAATTCTTGTTCATGTTCTAGGGTTCATAGGTAATGTTCATGTTATAGGGTTCATAGGTACTGTTCATGTTCTAGGGTTTATAGATACTGTTCATGTTATAAGGTTCATAGTTATTGCTGATGTTTTAGGGTTCATAGTTACTTAATTTAGTTCTAGGGTTCATCGGAACTGGTCCATTAACTGAATCAACTATGTAACTAAATCTGTAAGTAATGTCTGTAATTTTAAACTGAATTTTTGTATTGTAGGGTGTTGCAAATTGTGGATTAGTGTAGTGGGTAGATGAGCATTGTCCAGAGCATCTGCAGAATGCTATTCATAAGTTGTGGCTTATGTATGAGCATAGCCAGCATGCTAACAAGATGGCATGCCTGGAGCATTCAAGCACTGTACACAATCTCACACAACAACAAAAGATTTGCAGGAGACATATGAGAAGCTTGTTGAAGATGTAAACAACCTATTGGATTATAAGGATAGCCAGCCTGAGGTAAGCCAGAAGAATGATGCTGAGAACATTTCAGTGAGTGTGGAAAGCAGCATGACAAAGGATGCTGAGATCAAAAAATTGAAGGTTGTTGTTGACCAGTTAAAGCAAATTCATGTTGCTCGAGCCACTGTCATTAGGAATTTGAAGTTCAACCATCTTAAAGAGAAGGAAAAGTTGAGCTCTGATAAGAGGACTTTGGAGATTTGCTATGCTGACCTGAAGAAAGAGAAGGATGACCTGAAGAAAGAGAAGGGTAAGCTGGATTGTTGCATTGCTGAGCTGATGAAAGTGAAGGAGAAGTTGACCATGGAGAAGAGCACTCTTGCTTCCTGCATTGTTGAGCTCAAGACAGCAGGTGATAGCAACAAGAGGAAGCTTCACCAGATCAAGGCTATATGTGATGAGGACTAAGTTGTGTTGTTGTCTGACCATGTGTGTCAATGATGTCTTTTGTACTAGCTATGGAGGAAAGCTTGGAATGTGTTAAGCTTTATTATGGTAAACCTTGGATTGTATCTTGTTTGTGAGAGTACTATGTTTGTCATTAATTATCAGGTTGGATTAACTTCAGTTTGTACCTGGCATACTAACATAATACTGCTGGCATACATATATAGTACCTGCATAGATAGCCTTACATAGAGAACAACTTCATACTGCTGGCATACATAGATAGTACCTACATATATAGCCTAACATAGATAGCAAGTTCATACTAACATAGATAGAACTGACATAGATAGTAGCTGCATATATAACCTGACATAGATAGCAAGTTCATACTAACATAGATAGAACTGACATACTAACATACTGACGAAACTGAACTTTTTCTTCTTCTGACGAAACTGAAGACAGCATGTCACTCCTCCTTCTTCAGCATCTTTAGGCGTTGGGAGCGCCGCATGTCATTGTTGATCACCGCCGCCCTCTTCTTCTTGGCCGGCGCTGGCTCCACCACATCTTCACCGACGCCATCCTCTTCTTGCTTGACGACGACGGGCTCTTGGTTGTCGGCGACCTCCGACAGCTTATCCACAACAATTGGGCTGTTCTTCTGCCCCTCCACGGCTGGAGGACTGGCGCCATGAGTAGGACATCAGGATCGTCGGAGGAGGAGTCGTCGGAGAGTACGACGACCTCGTCCACCTCGTCGTCAGAGGAGTAGCCGTCAGATTCGTCAGAGTCGTAGTCGTCAGAGGACTCGGATTCAGCGTCAGAGTCCTCGTCTGGCCCGAGCACCCATGGATTGCACCTCTCACAGTAGGGTTGTTGATGGGGGTTGGGAGAGCGAGGACGGCGTCGGTGATGTCATCCGCGGCAGCCGGCGGCGTGGTGGATGAGCGGTACATCCACCAACGGGCGCGCTGCCTGGGGTCGGCGGAGCACTGCACCTCGCGCATCACCCACGGGAGAATGATCGCCGGCGGGACGGTGCGGCCGGCAGGGAATGCACGCTGCCTTTCGGCAGGTGTCATCACCTTCACCAGGCCGCGGGCATGGTTCCTCAGCATCGCCAGACTGGGGAACCAGCGCGCGATCTCTCTGTACTGCGCGCGCAGCTCGTGGTTGTTGCCGGTGAGCTCTTCGATGGCCAACTGCCAGTCCATGGCGACGGGCAACGGCGGTGGTTTCGACGGGAGAGAGGGGGAAGAGGAGTGGGCAGTGCGGTCGGCGAGTGGGCGAGTGAGCAAAGAGAGCGGTAGGTGGACACGTATTAAAGGCAGAAACCGAAACGACTAGTTATACTAAACGGATGTTCACCACGCTGCCGGCCTCAATGCACTCTCAATACAGTGCCTAACTAAATATAAGTAAAATTGCGGATGGTAGTAAAACAACATCACTAGCACTATCCCATTGGTATTGAACCCCTGGTTACTACCCACTGGTCCTGGGTTTGATCCCTAGGCCAAACTATTTTTATGCAATTTTTTTGGATTTATAAAATTAATATGTCAGTTACTTCTTAGGTTTTTTTTGGGTTTTGTCAACACATCATATCAACAGCATGAAAACTAAGATCATCATCATATCAACAATGAAGCTATGCTCATCATCACAACAACAGAATGAAAACATCATAACTAATAAGTTCATCATCATAACCAGAGTATCATAGTGCATCACAACCATTAGGTACATTACATAGTCCACCACTTGGACTTGAACTTACTGGTTTCAACATGAAATTCTTAATATTCTTCATCACAAACTATCCAAAACAGGCTGAATTAAACATGTTTCAACATTACATCACTTCTTGCTGCCTTGAGAACAATTGAACCATTCAGACATCTTGTATGATGGCTTTCTCACTCTTCCAGTAGCTGACAGTCTTGGTGGTATGAATGTTTTCTTTGCCCTTGACCTAGCAGCAGTAGCAGAAGATGAACTAGGCCTATCAGCAGCAGCAGAAGATGAACTTGGCCTTGTTGGAGCAGGAGCAGAAGGAGCTACCCTAGGTACAGCCCTAGTTGCAGTTGGAGCAGGAGCAGAAGGAGCTGCCCTAGGTACAACCCTTGCTGCTGGTGGAGATGTTCTTGGTGTTGCACTGGTTGCAGCAGGAGCTCTTGCCCTTGCTGCTGGTGGAGCAGATGGAGCTGTCCTTGGTGCATCAACTCTCCTGTTTTCCTGCAATGACAACATATAGACAATTTAGAACATAGTATTAAATATACACAAGATTTAACCTGCAGTGACAACATATATAAACAAGATTTAACCTGGTGTTGGTTCCTTCTCATTGCTAGTGCTGGCTTCAGATTTTTGTGGCAGCTAGTGTACCTATGCCCTGTCAAGTTGCAATTGCTGTAGGTTATTGTTGCCATCCTTGAAGTATCTTTGGGAGCTAGCTTCTCAAACTGATTCTTTCTCCTCTTAGTCTGCTTCTTTCCTGGCTTGTCTCTGAAAACTGGTGGCTCTATGTCAGGGGTCCCAGTATTTGGCTTGGTACATTGGTTTCTTGAAGAAATCACTAACAAAATCTTCTGGATGAAGTTTTGCCTTGTTAATTGCAGAAACACCATGCTTGCAATGAACACCAGTCATGTCCCATTTGCTACACCCACATGTGTGCACTTGCAGATTTACTACATATGTGCTTTCTCCACTGCTAACCTGGTATAGATCAGGTCCTGCTTTGATTGACTGACAATATCTAGCATGGTGTTCTGCTTCTTCTAGCTTCTCAGTATATGTTGGGCATATCTGCCACTTGGCTGTCTCAGTCTTGGTCCTATTGGCATTAAACTTAACTAGCAATTTAGTTCTGATGCCATCAACCATGGTTTTAATTGGTTTCCCCCTCACATCAAGTATTATTTTGTTGAACACTTCATTAATATTGTTAACAACCAAATTAGTTTTACAATTCTTGTCCATGGCATGTCTAGCCCATGTATGCTTGGGTATCTTTCTAAGCCATTTACAATCAGTTTTACAGTTTGATCAACAACTGAATAAATACCTCTGAATTATGTGGACTGTTTGAGATAAAAACTGGATCCTATTCACCTCAGAATAATTTTGACGTAAACAATGGCTGAATATTAAAAGCGACAGCGATGTAGAAATATTTCCTGTACAAACAAGAAAAGAATACGAGATGCTGGAGCATTAAACATTCATTCCAATCTGAAACCAATGTAAACTAATCTGATTTCCAAAAGTACACTGATACAGGCATGGGCAGCTTTGATCTTATTACTTCAGGTCTCATATGTCTACACGTGCAGAAACTGTAATATGAAGGTACAATTTGATGTCTTTGGTTCAATCTTGTTGATACAACATGAGGGTGCCTTCATATATGTCATCACTTCTTATGGACACATATATTTGCCAGAACCAGGAAATTTACCATACGAGGAACAAAGGGAGATAACAGGACAAGGAAGCGTGGGGCGGTGTGCGAGTCTCCAGCACGTGGAGGAACAGCGGTAGCGGCTTGTGTGTCTCACTGTGTCACCGTTGCACGCAGAAATGTCGAATGGTGTATCATATGGAAAACAATGTGCTGATAGCACATTAAATACTCTTGACAAAACGGACTACCTCTACCCTGAAGCACACATACATATATAACCACCAGCTAGGACAAAGCCGAAATAATTCTACCCAACAGCAAATTAAATCGGGCAAAGTGATGGGGGATGCTATGTAGACCAAAAATGCTACACGTACGGATTTGTTTTACAAGGATTTACAGACCAACCCTCCTCCCTCACTAATCTCCTCCCCCCTGAGTTTCAGGGTGGGGCCTGCCTCATCTAATTACCAATTAAACCAGCCCACCTCAGCATTGCCTGTAAAAGTCCTGTAAAGCCTCCGTACGTCTAGCATTGCCGTATGTAGACTGTAGGGGTGCATGCTTATCAGAATGTAACAGTGACCTTGGCCCTGGGAGACACCCTCGGCAGCGCTAATAGCTTGGCAAGAACCCTGCTGCAGTCCGTTTCGCCCTTCCACTTTATATTCAGTTCTTCCAAAGCTGGTGCCCAGCTCAGAAGCTTTGCCACGAAATCGATTTCGTAGTCCAGACCCCCGAAATCTTCCACACTGGCCGTTATGAGATGGTCCATTTGCACTTGCACAGTAATGCTTACCTGATCCTGATCCGACAGGCCCAAAGGGTAACTCTGCATTGTTTTTTCACAACCCATTAGCCGTAAACACAATGAATGAACATGGATCAGGTGATTAAGCGAGGGAGCGGGTTTACTAGGGGTATACCTACCCATAGCTCAAGCATCTTTAGGTTAGGGGCTTTCTGAAACAATGAACAAGCAGCCGAGACTTCCCTTTGGTCCCAAAAGCATATGCCAAGATAAATATTCTCCAAGCAACGAAACACGACAGGGAGCTTCGTATGTATGCATCCATTTGATAGATACTACAACAAGAAAAAAATAAATGGCAACACTGATTAGTTAGAAGGCAGAACAAGGCCATGCTGGAGCTAATAATACCTCACCTTCAGGAAAAAGCCACTAACTGAAAGTGTTTCGATGTCACTTAGGCTTCCCAATGACTGCTTGAGATAGCTTTCCTTGTCATGGACAATTGGAACAGATTGATATGCTTTAACTTCGTGACGAAGAGAGAGAACGGCCCATTTCAGATTTGGGACATCTAATTTAATGTATACAAAGTCCCCATTAACATGAAGATATTTCAGTTTAGGAGCTTGAATATTTAAACAGTCGATACCCTCGAAAGAAGTTAACCTCAAATCAGTCAGTACAGGGCAAAAGGAGATCAGATATTGAATATCCCTGTCTGTGGAGGAGAAAATGTTCAGGCTGAGGTAAGTTAGTCTCTTGAAACCTTCGAATTCCCGGGGCAAGCTGATAATGCAGTTTTCCAGGCGAAGAGACTTCAGATCAGCAATAGAAAAGAGGCATGAGGGAATCCTATACCTTGGCCATGAGTTCAAATTGATTATAACTGATCTTGGTGATCTCCTTGACAGCATGAGCATCCACATAGCAAATTCATCATGGTAACTTCCTTTACCTGATATATCAAACTTTTCTATTGCTCCCTTGTGGAGTGATAGCACCATTTCGACCAACTTAACGAACTTTGTTCTTGGAAAATTTTCATCACGCAGAAATATCATTGGCGTATCAGTCCATGCATCCCTCCAAGTACTTGATAAGGTGCTAGTCCTAACTGCTTCTTCGACGTTCAAACGGGAGAGGATGTCGCCCTTTATCTCTCGAGGCAGACTGCTCAGTCTGTCTAGACTCACAACAGATGTAGCTTCCGCCCTGGCCTTTTTACAGGCACTCATTGCTTCAGAATACAGATTAACTGTCCTAGCATTTCCAAAAGATAGAGATCCTACATTAGCGTGCAGTCTACCGCAAACAACAAAAAATATAATGCATGCAGAAGTTAAATGGTGCAGTAAGTAAGTAGCCTGTTCATAACAAAAGAAGAAATAAGCAACAACCAAGAGATGCAGTTTAGGGAAACAATTTACTACTAACAGAACTGAACTCGGCTATTGCGTTGGTTAGGTAAAAAGTTTGATTATCATTTGACATGTGTTAGAAGACCCTAATTTGTGATCTTGAAGAGCAAACATGTCTCCTGCTGCAAGCTGGAAAGGGGTTTCTTCTTCTGAATACATGTGCGGTCATTTGAAGAAAATGTGATTAAAATTTGGGGAAAAAACTTGTATTGCAAAATATCGACTAGACAAACAATATGGGGTATATAACCGAGAGGCTCTCAACGTGGGCAAATGATGAAATGCGACTCTACTTCAGGACAGAGAGTCAATTTACTCTCCTTTCTTATCGTGGATGTGGACTTGGACTCAAATTATTCAGGAGCAACAGCATGTTTAGTTCCAACATTCACTCGACGTGTACTAAGTTAAATATTGATCCTGAGAAATTAGCACTAGAAAACTAGAGAATAAAAAGAAGCAACGTAAATAACAGGCTGCTAAAGTGGATTCAATTAAGCAACAGAATCTAAACAAGCACATGTCTTAAATTGCATTTGTACTGTCCATGTATGTACCACGTATAGCTCCTAGTATTTATAGGATCTCTAACGCCCATGGCCTGCGTGCCTTGACTCTTGGGCGTTCCTCTCCCTCTATCGTTGTACATAAGGCAATGTACTGTAACAGATGAATGCAAGGACAGAAACATTCTCTCCAACTATATGAGCAACTGAATCTTGCTAGTCGTCAATACTCATGGAGCCCACATAACTTAACCATACGGGCCTCATGAAGCATGCATGGCTGATCTTATATATTTCATGAATCCGCCAAAAATAAGTCTTGAAATTTAGATATATGGGAACAGGAAGCGAAACGAACCCACGGAGTGGCTGCAGGAGCGCCAGACAGGGGAGGGTTTGCACTCTCACGTATATGTTGATGTATATGCCGGGTAATACAAAAAAAAAAGCTACATTCTATCCATGGGTTTGCACTCTCACGTATGTTTGAGCTAGAAGCACTAGGCTTGAAAAAAAGAATCTATTTTCGTCGTATTGTGTGGGGTTCTCTTCATCTTTAAATCATTGAAATATTAAACAAGGAGCGGCATTAGATTTCTAAACTAGAAGCTGGCTTATCAAATTAGTAAATTAAACAATTTTCTTCAAAGGAAGTGCAAAAATTTACAAAAATTACTACACAGCGGTGACATACCTTGATTCCTTGAAGTTGAATTTGATATGTTGATGTATGATACTGGTAAAGCACACAGGCAGTCGTTGTCTCGTGGTCTCTGATGGATTCAGTCGCCGCGAATTGGAGCACCCTCTGCCGGTCTTCCCTGTCGAGAAGCGAGGGGCGGCGGCGCAGGGTCACACGGAACCACAACGAGATCGATTGGAAAGTAACTGCTCCATCTCACGGCGGCTGATCTTTCCTGATGTCTACAACTAGCGATGCTTTCCCATGTTTGGGCCTTTGGGCTAGAAAGTTGCCACGTTGGGCCATAATCAATTTATAGCATTAGTAAATAGACAAATGGGAGAGCAACTAATTAACAAGTGACTACAATAATCAATTCGAGAAGAAGACGGCAGGAGGTGGATATTGCCGGGTACGGTTGGATCGGGCCTTAGCTAATTCAGATTTTTTTGAAGCTACTTAGCTAATTCAGATTGGAATGCCATATATCCTCATGCGATCTTGAGCCACGAAACTGGGGCGGCCTCAGATCACTGCCCAATCAGATTACAATTGGAGCCTATGACGCCTTCTCAAGCATCATCGAGGCTGTTCAGATATGAAGTTTACTGGGAAAGGCACGAGGACTTCGGCTCCTCTCTCCAAGCTATGTGGAACGATACTCCCGAGGGCCATACAGTACAGCAATTGAGCAGAAAGCTTGGCGATTTGTCAGCTTCTCTGAAAGAGTGGAGTGGGGCTAATATAGGCTGTGTTGCTAAGGAGATTAAAAAACTGAAGAAAGAGTTGACTGTTTTACAGAATGATCCTCAAAGAAATGCACCATCACATGCAGAGATAAAAATCTCAGACCGCTTAGTCGAGCTATATCACATGGAGGAGATGATGCAACGGCAAAGATCCAGGGTGGACTGGCTCAAGGATGGTGACAAGAATACAAAAAAATTTCAGAGACGGGCTAGCATGCGACGACGTAAGAACACCATCAAGTCGCTTGAACGCCCAGATGGCTCAGTAACAAGTGATTAAGCTGAGATGGCTTCATTAACGACTGAGTTCTATAAAAATTTGTTCAGATCAGAGGGCACATCGGGATTGGAAACTGTCCTTAATGCTGTCCCTAGGAAGGTTACACAAGCAATGAACGAAGGCCTCACAGCTCCTTATACGGGGGAGGAGGTGAAAGCAGCCCTCTTTTAGATGTACCCCACAAAGGCCCCCGGACCTGACGGATACCCGACGCATTTCTTTCAAAGGCACTGGGAGTTGTGTGGCACTGAAGTAACCAACATTGTTCTTCGGATTCTTCGAGGAGAGGAGAGTCCTGACATGATAAATGAGACAATCCTAGTACTCATACCGAAGGTGAAGGATCCCACTAACTTGTCTCCATTCAGGCCTATTAGTTTGTGCAATGTACTTTACAAAATTGCTTCCAAGGTGTTATCTAATAGGTTGAAACAAATCCTTCCTGAAATTATATCCGAAGAGCAGTCTGCTTTTGTTCCAGGGCGTCTGATCACGGACAACATCATAACTGCATATGAATGTTTGCACTTCATGAAGAGGAACAAAGCTCAGAGGAATAGATTTTGTGCTGTCAAACTAGACATGATGAAGGCTTATGACCGTGTCGAGTGGATCTATTTGGAGGCTATTTTGACCAAGTTGGGATTTGCACCATCCTGGGTTGCTTCGGTCATGAGAATGATTACTTCGGTGAAGTTTTCTGTTTTGTTCAATGGAGGTAAACTTGAACAATTTTCTCCCTCACGAGGAATCCGTCAAGGAGACCCTATTTCTCCATACCTGTTTTTGATTGCAGCGGAGGGCCTTTCGTGCCTCTTCAAAACCCAACCTGAATCATCGCACCTCACTGGTATTCAAGTGGCACCGACGGCTCCGCTGATAAGCCACTTATTATTTGCGGATGATAGCCTGCTGTTTGTCAAAGCTAGTTCTGTTGGAGCAAATGAGTTGTCTGCCTTGATGGAAAGTTATTGCAATGCCTCGGGTCAAAGGATCAACCTTGCAAAATCTTCTGTATTTTTTAGCAAGGGATGTCCTTCTTCATTAAAAGCTGATATGAAGAATGCTCTAAATATCCCAAATGAATCGCTCTCAGATAAATATTTGGGAATGCCATCTGATGTGGGAAATAGCAAGAATGGGGCATTTAAGTTTCTTAAGGATCGTGTTTGGAACAAGGTCAAGGGCTGGTTGGAAAAACTTCTGTCAGTAGGCGGGAAAGAAGTTCTCATTAAATCGGTGGCACATGCAATTCCAATCTATTCCATGTCTTGTTTCAAGCTACCACGCGGGCTTTGTGAACATATCAACTCCTTGATTCGGAAGTTTTGGTGGGGCAGCAAAGAGGGTAAACGGAAACCTAGTTGGGTCTCTTGGAGCACAATGACACAACCGAAATATTGTGGAGGCTTGGGTTTTCGTGACATTGAACTTTTCAACCTCGCTCTCCTCGCTAGACAGGCATGGTGAATTGTGATGGATCCGGAATCACTGAGTGCCCGAACTCTAAAGGCCAAGTATTTCCCTACTGGAGATTTTCTACAGGCCGAATTAGGGTCATCACCATCCCAGATTTGGCGAGCCATAATTGACGGCCGTGAGATACTCACACAAGGTATGATCAGGAGAATAGGCAACGGTCATTCCACGAGCATATGGCACCACAACTGGCTGCCGAGACCCTCAAACATGAGGCCGATTGTGAGCAGAGTGGTCGATCCTCCTCAGATGGTGTCCGAGTTGATATTGCCTAGTGCTGAATGGAACTGTACGCTGATTGACGAAGTATTCCTGCCAACAGATGCTGCAACCATATATTCTATACCACTTTGCACTCGGAACATTGATGATTTCTGGTCCTGGATTCATGAAAGAAGTGGGGTGTTCTCCGTCCGTTCCTCTTATTGTATGCTAGTGGAAACCAAGCTAACGCGAGAGGCGTGGCTCGAGGGTACGGCTGGTTCGTCAAGTGTGGCCACTGAAAAACAGTCTTGGAATGCTCTGTGGAAAGTGAATATTCCTTCAAAGTTGAAAATCTTTCTGTGGAGGCTGGCCCAGCAATAGATACCGACAGCTGATGTGTTGCACCATCGTAATATGTCAACAACTACACGTTGTGGACTCTGTGGAGCCGAGGACTCATGGCAACATTCGCTGTTGCACTGTACGGTTGCTAGGTGTGTATGGGCTCTTCATGATCAAGATCTAGTGGAAGCCCTAAATAACGCCACGGAGCCGGATGCTAAACGATGGCTGTTTTCGATCCAGGGCATGCTATCTTCGCAAGAGTTCATCTTGGTAGTTACCACTTTATGGGCACTCTGGTTTGCACGGCGACAGGCACTACATGAAAACATTTTTCAGAGCCCTCTATCAACTTACCACTTCATCTTGAAGTTTGTTCGGGAGCTTGATGAGTGCAAACCAAAGAAGGTATCTACTGCGGCTCCGTCGACAGTTCCTATAATGCCAAGATGGATCCCACCTCCTGAAGGAATTGACAAAATCAGGGTTGATGGAGCTGTATCCAGAGATGGTAATTTTGGATCTTTTAGTGCCTTGTGCAGAACCCATTCGGGTAGCTTTCTGGGAGCCTCGGT